TGTTGTTATTTATTAGTTCATAGTTATGTACAAGTTTCTTTTGAATACATCAGATTTAAAATTCTAATTTGAAGTAGGTAGGTACCTAATTAGACCACGGTTTAACCCTCACACGCCCCAATAAAAACCAAAATTCAGGTAAATGGATTTTTGGAAACGGTACAATTTTAGTTTATTGAACCCATCCCAGCTATATTTTCAGATTAATAAAATGAAATTACTCTTTGTTTACATATCGAAAATGAGGTTAAATTCATGGAGAATAGAGATCGATGGGTTATTATCGAATCCTTATCGATATGTCACTTTGAGAACACAATTCGTAGAGAAATTTCGTGAAATCATCAACCACATGGCAACACTGGAAGAAAGCAACCAATAGAAAATCTAGGCGCGTGACGTCACCATCCTAGAAATTTTGAATTTCAAATGAAAATTTAAGGCCTTTCCCGGTACCAAAAAAATCCGAAAAAAACATTTCTGGGCTTTATTTTGATTACCCTTTCAGATAAGCCAATAAAAAAAAATCGTGGGAAAGACCCATTAAAAAAAAAAACTGTAACTCAGTTAATAATTAATCAATTCTATTTTTTCTTTCCGACTATTTAGGAGCACCTAAAAAGCACCTAATTCTGATACAAAAGAAAATTTTGGAAAAATATTTTTTACTATAGGGGACTATTAGCTTTCATAAACCTAACAATCCCTCAGTTTTTTTTGATTTTCTCAAAAACTAGAGGAGAACCAAATTTTCAATTAGAGGCCCTAATTAGCACCTAAAAAGCACCTAATTATTATATAGAACCCGAAGTTTTTTTGCCAATCTGACACTCCAACATGTAAACGTAAAGCCAGTAGAGATGTAAGTTTTCATGAAATTTTCAAATTTGAAACTTTTCATGAAAAGTTGAAACTTTTCAATTTTTTTTTGAAAAGTTAAGTACAGGAAGAATAGGGCCTCTAAAATTATTTTTTAGAAATTATAGGTATTCAATAAATTGAATTGATGAATAATATAATTTTTATCAATTATTCCTTTCCATTAAATCACAATATTGCGGTTGAGGATTGAGGTAGGTAATAAAAAAAATTGCGTAATAGTGAAAAAATCTGTTTTTCTATGACCATCAAAAAATAAACAAATTTTGTCATATTTTACCTTAGCCGAAAACGTCATTTTCGTCACTAGTGATGAAATATCCCATAACGTTAACTTTCCTCACTAGTGACGCAAGTGAATGATTAAAATTATACATGTTAAATACATTTTTTCAAATCCAATTATATTTCAATTCTGTGGAGCACAATGAAAAAACATAGTTCATAACGCAAAAAATGCTGTTTTCGTCACTCGTTAATTATTCTTTTGCTCACGACTATGACATCCATTTTCGTTTTAACAAACCTGGGACATAGTCACAGAATGCATGATTCATGATCTTTAAACTTTTCACGAAATTTTGAAAAGTTTTGAACTGTCTTGAAACTTTTCAATGAAATGAAATTTTATTGAAACTTTTCAGGTGAAACTTTTCACACTCACATCTCTAAAAGCCAGCAGTCCCCTAATAATTAAAAAGAAATCTGTAACTCAGTTAATGGAAGTCCATCCAAATGACCAGTGCAGCCAAGCCTTCCTAGAAAGCTATAAAAACCATAGGGGGTATCAGCAAATAAATTTTCCAACAAGAATCCGCAACACCCAGATATCATTACTTGATCTACTCATAACCAATGAGAAAAAGTTAGTTTTTGATATCAAATCACACGCACCCTTGGGAAAAAGTGATCATGTTGTAATCACAGCCAAGTCACAAATAAATGTAGCTGCTCAACCAACCAGAAAAATTTACAAAAGGCAATTTTGGAAAGCAGATTACATCGCAGTTAATGAAACACTTGAACAGGAATTAAGAAGACTGGCAAACCCATTGACTTTCAACCAATTCTACGAGGCTTTAACAAACACAATAAACAAACACATCCCAAACAAACCACAAAAAGTTAATCCGCAAAAACCATGGCTCACAAAAGAAGTTTTCAAAGAAATTCAACAAAAGCGAAATCTTTGGCATAATTACCAAAACAACAAATCTGAAGAAAATTATCAAATTTATCAACACCAAAACAACAAAACAAAAACCTGCACAGTATCGGCCAGGAGAAACTATGAACACAATTTATTAGCGAACACTAAACAATTCTACTCATACATAAGCCGTTCGCTAAACTCAAAGCATGCCAGCTTCAATCTAATAGATAAGGATACCTCAATACCGTTCAAATCTGATCAGGAAATCGCAGAGTGCTTCGCGCAGCAGTTCCAGAGTGTTTTTACTATTCTGGACGCAAACACCCTTAGGCCCACACTACCAGTAAATACTTACACGGTAACTGAGATAAATCACATCGAATTTACACCAGAAAAATTATAAGTTGCCATAAAGTCATTAAAGTCCAACTCAAGTCCTGGAATAGATGAAATTCCTTCCATTTTTCTCAAAAATTGTGTACAAGTTCTAAAAGCACCCCTGGCAAATGTGTTAAACATCTTACAGACAACAGGGGAATTTCCGAAAGCCTGGAAGAAAGCTATTGTCACACCAATATTTAAAAAAGGAAATAAACAGTTGGCAGAAAACTACAGGCCAATTAGTTTAACTAGCATGCTGTGTAAGTGCATGGAAAAAGTCATAGCAAAAGAACTTACATCTTTCTTCTTGGAAACAAGGATCATACCCTCACAGCAGCATGGCTTCCTACCAAAAAAATCCACATTCACTAACCTTCTAACTAGGTTCAACGACTGGTCAGTGGCTGATGACAACCGAGAACCAATGGATGTGGTCTACCTTGACTTCGAAAAGGCGTTTGACAAAATACCAATCGAATACATCAAATACAAACTACAGCAATTTGGAGTCAGAGGTGATTTACTACGGCTGATTGGTGATGGTTTTTTGTCTGGTCGAACTTTCCAGGTACGAATTGGTACTAGCCTGTCGCAGGAGCACAAAGTACACAGCGGAGTTGCTCAAGGCTCAGTTCTCGGTCCCCTCATATTCATAACATACTTGAGCGATCTGTACCAGGGACTTACAACAAAAAATGCATCTTTTGCAGATGATGGTAACCTATATTGTAACCCTCTATTACAACATAAGGACCTACAGCAAGATCTTGTCAGAATAAAGGAATGGACAACAAAGTGGGGAATGCCACTTAATGATTCCAAATGTACTGTACTACACATAGGCCAGAATAACCCTAGTCATAGCTATTTTCTACAACAAACACCAATAACAACTGTTGCAAAGCAGAAAGACCTTGGAATCACAGTGACGGCAGACCTAAAATGGGAGACACACATCACTAATGTAACAAAAAAGGCAAACTCAATGACATACCTCATCAAAACAGCATTCAAAGACCACTCTAAAGAGATGATTTTGAAACTGTATAAGTCCTACATTCGACCAAAACTTGAGTATGCCCAATCAATCTGGAATCCTTACTATGTGAAGGACATTGAACAACTCGAGCGAGTACAACGGCGGATTACTAAGCTTCCTAGTGAACTTAAAGATCTGCCATATGAAATCAGACTGACTCAATTGAACCTGACCACACTGAAAGACCGCAGAACCAGAGGAGATCTTATCGAGACATTTAAGATTCTCAACGGATACTATGCCTGCAACTTAACCAATATATACCAACTCAGCATTAATCAAAACTTACGGGGTCACAACAAAAAGCTATCCAAAGAAAAATGCAACAAAATGCTTAGACGAAACTTCCTGTCCAATAGGGTGGTGTATCATTGGAACTCTCTGAGCAGCGACACCGTAAACTCAACATCCAAGAACCAATTCAAAAATCGCCTTGACAAGGAAATCGAAGACTGGAACAATATGTTTGTGCATTACTCTGCATGACCAATCTAAATGTGATTTTAATAACACCAAACAATGACACACGCAGTACAACAGACTCAGTAGTCTCATCGGATTTTAAATCTGCCTACTGCTGAAACTAATAATAATAATAATAATAATAATAATAATAATTAATCAATTCCATTTTTTCTTCGACTATTTAAGAGCACCTAAAAAGCACCTAATTATTATATAGTTCCCGAAGTTTTTTTCCACCTTGGGACTGCTAGGTTTATAGACCTGACAAAAATCCAAAATAAAAGTAAAACTTTAACACCCTGTATTGTGCAAATGAAGCACTTCAAGGGTGTATGTTCCTATCTATATTTTTATGAAAATGCTAGGTCTGTTACCTGTCAAGCATTGTCAGTCTAATATTGGGACACCCTATAAATTTAAAATATATACTTTTCGGTTACCTGGCGCTTTCACCAAATAAAAAAATTATCTAGCGAGTAAATGGGTTTTTGAAATACAAAAACAAACTTGACCTTGTTGGGCACCAATAAAAACAAGAATGTATACTTAATTAATTAATTATCAAATTAAATATTATTGGTATAGGTAATTATAAATCAAAAATATTTTTTTAATAATTTTTATCAAGCTACAGTTGTGTGTGCTGTATAGGAAATATAGGAAGCTGTGATAGGTTTAGGAATTAAACTTGCAATATATCCAATTATATGTGACTACATAATAACGTCTTTTTTTGTATAAAAAAAAATCCTTTTGTCAGGTTTTAATATGTTTTCCTTATTTATTAAAAAAAAAAATCTAAAATATAAACAAAACTCTGATTACCATAGCAACAGCGTTTGATGTCAGGCCCTAGGCCTTTTTTTTGCGCAAGCCCCATGCCCTACCAAATATTTCCAACAAATGGAAAATAAATGTATTTATATTTATTGGGGTTTAAGGCCTAAGGGCCGGATCAAAACAAGCTACCTGAGCTACAACAATCAACTTAAACGCCCATAAGGGCGCGCCTTTGGCCCTACACAACCACTTCAAACCCTTCACATAACCTAGGAAAGGGAAAAAAAATCAGTGGCCACTTACCGGAAATATCTTGTAGCGGGCAAGTCTGGCTAATTTAGGTATTGTTGCACTGGGACACAATTATTATTAACAAATTAAAAGTTTATTTTCGTAAAAACTAAATAAGCAAGCAACGTCGCAATCGGCCGATAACAATAAAAAAGCGCCGCGAGAGCAGCTGACGCGATGACGTGACAGCGACCTGGGCCGGTATTCTCGTTCTCGAAAACGCTCAACGCTTTTCAGTCGCTCGGCACTTTCAATGTAAATTTGCATTTAAAGTGCCGAGCGACTAGAAAGCGGTGAGCGTTTTTGAGAACCAGAATACCGGCCCTGCAGGACTCTCGTAACAACAAAAACTGCGTCGCGGACGTGGCGCCGCTCCACGGTCGCGCTTCGAATTTTGTCGACCAGCAGGAATTTATCGATTCGAGATGAATTATGTAAGGTGGGGTTTACATTATTATGTAGTTTCTCGTGTATTCATATATTTTTGAAAAAATTCGTTTCAACAGGATTTGTAATTAGGTACGTAATCATTTGCTTTCTTTTTTCAACAAATACAATTGACTGAAACAAATGAATGACGTCATAAAGTCTGTTTTTTTTTTAAAGATAATTTCCCAAGTCAAAAATTTAGTAACTATGTTGGCAACACAAGCCTTTCCTACATAAAAAATTTGAAAGCATTGACAATTTTACATTATATTGCCAACATAATGTCATTATGACTTTTATCTTTAAAAAAAAAACAGAATTTAAGCTCGATTAATGGCCATTTCCACCAACTAATTTAGGGAAGCCCTAACGATAGGTATGCCTTATGGCCGTATTCACCAACGACCGCTAACTGCTTATCAGTCTGATAAACTGCTTGTCAGACTGTTAACGAAAAATTCGGTATTCACCAACCTTGAGTAGTAGATATCAGTCTGATAAAGTTGTCAGGCGAAATTTGGGCTGTTAAGGAAGTTATCCGTCTGATAAGTGTTATTGTTATTGTTTTTTTTTTTCAAAAAAAAATCGAATGTGTCCATAAATTGGAAAGAATGAATGGTTCGTTAAATTTTAATTTATGGTAGGTACTTTATAAGTTTTTATTTTTTGGCAAAATGAACAGAATGGATGAAATAGACCTGAATTTTTTTGGAGGTTCATTGGATGATCCATATATTAGATGAAGATCTTCCCAGGCCCAGCCCAGAAATGTGAGGGCAAGAATGATTTATTCACTGATATGGATGATTTGGAGTTTCATAAAAGATTCAGAATAAACAAAAATAACTTTCAAAGGCTAAAAATGAACCTCTGAACACTGAACCTAGTCGTGGAGCCATTGCGGACGAAAGAAATAAACCAATCTAAAAAAAATCAGATTTTAATTGCAACCGGGTCTTTTCAACTTTGTATTGTGGTGACCATTTCAATGTTTCACAACAATCACAACCAACTGTACTGTATTGGTTATGGTTTTCTTCAGGGACGGAGCCATGGGGAAGGGGCTGGGGGGTGTGGCGCCCCCCCCAAAGTTCCTGAAATATATCGAAAGTTGGGAAAACTTGGATGAAAAATTTAAAGTTGGGAAAAATTGGTAGACAAAAATTTGCGCACCTTATTTGCGAGGACTGATTAAAATTAACATTAGGATCGTGTCACGTGTCGTAATGAATTGCAAAATCACCACTGTACTAGCGCCACTAGCCTGTAGCAGTGGCACGTAACCAGGGCTGGCCCTACCATAAGGCGAACTGAGCGAGCGCTCCAGGCGCCAGACCTCGGGGAGCGCCTTCGACTTGTTTCTTGGTAATAAAAAAAAGGGAAAAATATATTATCGCTTTGAATTCTGTCTCTGCTTTTCGATATTTTGCTTTTCTGCTTGTGAGCAAGCTTGTGCTTACTTAGTATGTGAATAACCTGTCCTGACGTTTTTTTGAGACGCGCACGGATCGTGGGTGTAAGCTTGAGGTAATTAAAACTTACCTTAGCGGTCAACTCTAGCAGAATAGAGAAACCTTCAAGATCAAGATCTAGCCCTGCTGTCCATTGAAAATGTTATAGCTCAGATATTGTCATATGAGGATTTATGAATAAAGCTAATGCAAAAGTATGCAAACACCAATTTACCTAAAATTTCGTATTTTGTTTTTTCGATTTTTATATTTATTAGGCCCGGTTTATTTATATTCAGATAAACTTGCGGGTAATTATCGACAAGATAAATTTACCGTCCTATAAATCTATTGGTCGGCGCATAGCTGGCCAACCAATGGGATAAGATATTGCATTTTTATCGTTCAGATTGCATACCTGACACCTGACAGTTTATCAGAAGGTGATTAAACCGGCCCTAATGGCTGTTTCCACAAACTATTACGATAAGTATTCCCTAAACTGACCTTTCTCCATGAAAACCTGTCAGTTTAGGGAATACTTATCGTTAGGGCTTCCCGAAAATAACTAGTTGGTGGAAATGGCCATAAGTGTTATAAGTGATATTACCAAAGTGGATTATTGGTTGATCCCATCAAAGAATGTGAACTAAATGTTAGTAAATAAGAGAACTTTGTACCAACGAACAGAAATGTTTTCAAATTTCAATTGGTAAGATAAAAAGACACATTGAGCTTTGTTTGTTCCAACTCATCAGGAAACCGTAATATTATCGTCAGGATTCAGCGCAAAACCTAAAATTTTTGCATTGAAACCGAAATTCGTATACAGAGTGGTTCCGAAACCGTTCTGGGACGTTTTTTTGACGGGTTGGAACAAACCTATTAGCAGGGTTGAATGGGACGACCGGGCAACCGGGCAAATGCCCGGTATAACTCTGGGCCGGTCCGGCCCGACGCGTCTAGATTAATAATAAAATTTTAAAATTTATAAATATATTTGACAAAAACATCATGAAAACTACCTATCTAAAACAATATTAAGGCTGTGGTCCGAATATAACCAGGGCTGTGGTTTCGCGGTCCGAAAGCGATCAAATTACTCTGGTACCTGCAAAAGTGGTTACTTTTGGACCTTGGTTTCCTGAAATCTGGTTAACCAAATGTCCAAATAGTTACCGACTATCGGATGTCGGTTCTGTTGGTTTTATCTGTAAATTCCTAAAAATTCTCTCAACAATTTTTTATTTCATGTTCGTGTTCCCTAGGTAACCGGAAATTTCAGTAACCATCTGTCAACCGGATCGGTTACTTTGGTTAACATTTGGTTATATTCGGACCATAGCCTTAAACTGAATATTATGCGTGAGGTCGGAAACCACTGGTGACGGTTTAATTGAGAATGCAGTGTTGCCAATCTGAATTTGTGAAATTACACGATATGCTGGTCAAATTACATAGTTTTACACGATTTCGTCTCACAATTACACGATTTATACACACGACCTTGGTACCTATTTAGTAAGTAACATCAAGAAGCAAGTATTTATGATTTTGGGAAATGGGTCAAATCCAGTCAAATCTGAGGGTTAATCATCGCTCCTCAACCAAAAACAAAGATGTAGCATCGACAGAAAAGCGATCCAAAAGTAATCTAATTACTAATTACTCTAGTTCCTGGAAAAGTGGTTACTTTTGGACCTCAGTTTTCCTGCCAGGATGAGGCACCCCAGATGACGTCATACAGTTATCAGGCAACCTACCTCTCTCAAACATCCTAGCCATAAGAGTAGTCACTTGACAGACCATTTGACAGACAAAAGATAATGGAATGTAATGCAAGGAGCAATTAAGGGAAGAGAAAAAGTCAAGTCCTATTTGTTTGTCACAATGGGACCGTGACCTATCTATATGTAATAATATCGAGAATGAAAATTCCAAAATATTCTTTCGTTTTCTTTACAGTAAAATTTTTGAAACCCATTTTTCATTCTTGCCGTCCAAGGGAGGGCTGGATGAAAAAAATTGCCAGGGCCGGTTTGTCTAAGCCCATTCAACCCTGTCTATTAGATTAGATATGGTCAAAATCTATACTCGCGCATGCGAATCACATTTAAACTAGGGGCGCCCAAGTCAGATCTCGCTCCATACTAAAAGTAGCCTCGGGCCGGCACTGCAGTTTACTGTAGTATTTCGCATCTGTTCAGTCACTGTAAATCACGTCATCGTCAAGTCAGCTTGTCGCTCGTTTACATTTCATTTTCTTAACACGCTTTTATTATTTAACACGCTTTTATTAGCTTCACCTGTATGTATGTTTGTATGTTTGTATATTTGTATGTATGTATGTTTGTAAGTAACATTGAAAATGTTTATCGCACGGGCACATAGGAATGCATGCGAACTTTTCTTGGGAAGTCTATGAACAAGAACCTGGAACAAGCCAAGTGAGCTGGAACAAGTCGGGAAAATGTTTGGAAGAAGTCCAGAGAGGTCAGGAAAGGACTGGATAAGGTCTGGAACAGTCTGCACAAGTCTGGATAAATCTGGATAAAGCCTGGGAAAGTCTGGAAAATGTCTGGAAAAGTCTGGAAATCTCTGGAAACGTCTGGAAAGAGCCTGGAAATTTCTGGAAATGGTCGGAAAAATTTTGCCAAAGATCCCAAAAGACCTGGGGATCATTTTCCAGGATCTGGATCACTCTGTACAAGTCTGGATAAGGTCTGGATAAATCTGGATAAAGTCTGTGAAACTCTGGATAAGTCTGGATATTGTCTGTAAAAGTCTGGAAATCTCTGGAAACGTCTGGAAAAGACTTGGAAATTTTTTGAAAGGGACGGAAAAATTCTGGAAAAGGTCCCAATAGACCTGGGGATCATTTTATAGAATCCGGATCAGTCTGAACAAGTTTGGATGAGGTCTGGATAAATCTGGATGAAGTCTGGAAAACTCTGGAAAGCTCTGGATAATGTCTGGAAAAGTCTGGAAGAGTCTGGAAACGTCTGGAAAAGGCCTAGAAGCTTCTTGAAAGGGTCGAAAAAATTCTGGAAAAGGTCCCAAAAGACCTGGGGATCATATTCTAGAATTCGGAGCAGTCTGTACAAGTCTGGATAAGGGCTGGATAAATTTAGATGAAGTCTGTAAAACTCTGGATATTGTCTGTAAAAGTCTGGAAATCTCTGGAAACGTCTGGAAAAAGCTATGAAATTTTTTGAAAAGGACGGAAAAATTCTGGAAAAGGTCCCAATAGACCTGGGGATCATTTTATAGAATCCGGATCAGTCTGAACAAGTCTGGATGAGGTCTGGATAAATCT